CGATATAAACACTCTTTCAATCAGTTTTCATCCTGATAATAGATATCTTTAACATTCCTTCTACGTTTTAAATATCTTCAAAATGAATTTATCTTCATCAGATAACATTTTATATCGAACACAGATATCCCTTCTTATATCTGTATTCTGGGGAGGGACATATGTAGCATTTTATTTCACTGTATTGTATTGATATATGTAACAACTCATTGAATATTTTTGTTTAGTTGTACTAATAAAAAACTTTTCGCTCGCTCGTTGATCAATACAACATCCTGACATATACTTCGCGTTAACTCCTCATATTCACACTATCTGACACAGGTGGATCAGCAGTGTCTGGAATTATAAGTAGGCGATAGTGTATCTGGACACGTATATAAATTTGGAGTCATATTTCAGAGCTCGACAAGATAACTATACATAATAGACCCCGTGGACTTCCCATAACTTCATCAGTTCGGCAGTATAGGGTTTAACTGAGTCTGAATTTCTAACCTACATGTTTATCTTCTTACGAAATCTTTTTTTCTTGGTATCAAAACACTGTTATCCTCCAAATGATCTCCTCGGACGATCTGTTAAGTCAGATAGATAACTTGAAATTCTTAGCTTCACTTACCGACTTGAAGAAGAGGTTAGTGATCTTTACTTGGCCATGTCAATTTCTGTTAACTAGCTCCATCCAACTGCCAAAAGTATGTAAAAATTCCTTTCTTAAAATGGTATTTAAATGTTTTAGGTAATGGGTAAATGCTGAGAAAGCGGTGAAATAAGATTTTACAGTGTTATTCTGCTTAGGTGTATGTTTTTTATTAGAATAGCAGAAGTAGTCAGAAAGTGTGAACAAGTTGAATGTAGTGACTAAAGTTATGATTGCCTATATGAATGAGTTACTACAATGACGACGCTCAAAATCAGGAGTATATTTCAGTTTCGCCTGGTTGGACAGTTCCCCACTAACTGGTACTCAAGTGCGATTATATGTCGTCACTGTTCCCGAAACGTGACTTCAAAAATAATGAAAACATCGAGTAAGATAACCTGTTTATTCTTATAGTGCATCAGCTCAAAATGCGCAAATAGGTTTATGCAAACCTACTACTTTAATAAGATGGTTGTCAACATACACGTGGACATTAACATACCAACTACTTAGTAGAAAGCGATTTCCAGTCAACCAATAAGAAATTAACGAAAAAGATCTATAATTAAATAACAGATGAAAACCAAGGTCACAAATCCACACTAATGACACTTCTTCCCTTACTAAAATTAAAGTTAACAAATCAATGTGTGACAGAAAATAACTCTCAGATGCAATCATCTCAGCATCCAGATCGAAACATATTTTACATCAACGTATTCATTTTTACACAACGTAATCGGTGATATTGTAAATTAGCTTGAAGATGACAGATCAAAGTTTATTATTATTATTATTATTATTATTAGTCCCTTGGGTTCCTAGTGGAACATAGGGCTTCAGTAGCACGCCTCCAGTGACCTCTGTTCTCTGAGATCTTTTGAACCTGGTTCCACGACAGCCCACAACCTCTCATTTCCTCCTCGCATGACCTCCTCCATGTCACCCTCGGACGTCCAACTCGTCGCTTCCCATGGGGATTCCACTCGAGGGCCTGACGCGTGATGTCCTCAGTCCGCCTTCTCAGTGCATGGCCAATCCATCTCCACTTCTTCCTGCATATTTGTTGCGTGATAGGTTCTTGGTTGGTTCGTTCCCAGAGTTCCTTGTTGCTTATTCTTTCTGGCCATCTGATCTTCAGTATCGAGCCAGCATAAGCAGTTGTTGATGAATGTCTGTAGTTTATTGGAAATACCTTTCGTGACGCGCCAAGTCTCTGAGCCATACAAGAGCACTGACTTGACGTTGGTGTTGAAAATCCGTATCTTGTTCCACATGCTGAGTGCAGAAGATCTCCACACTGGTTTCAGGCTAATGAAGGCCTGTCTTGCTTTTCCGATTCTGACTTTGACGTCCTCGTCCGTCCCGCCTGTAGTTGAGACACTGCTTCCTAGATAAGTGAAGGAGGTTACTTCCTTCAAGTTTCTCCCGTTGACGGTGATTGGAGTTTGTTGTTGTTGTTGATGGTGGTGGTGGTGGTGCGGTATCTTCATCACTTCTGTCTTCTCTATATTCACCTGAAGTCCCGTCTTCGCTGCCTCTTCTGTCAACTTGTTAGTTTTTGCCTGCAGATCTTCAAGTTTATGTGACATTAGGCATAAGTCATCGGCGAAATCCAAGTCTTCTAGGTTCTTTTCCGTCGTCCAGTGTATCCCCCTCTTCTCGCTGCCTACTGTTTGCTGCATGATCCAGTTCACCACAATAAGGAATATCAAAGTTTAGAGTTCACCAAACAACTATCGGTGTTTATGTCTAGACTGCAGACCAGCTCCAGGGATTAACGACATAAATAATCTGTAGTTACTTAGAGACTGAAATCAGAAAGACCTACAGCGAAAGCAGAAGAAATGTGGTTTGTTTTTTATCAATCCATGAACAGTGAGTGAATTTTGTCCTCAAATCCTGTTGTTAGTTGTCAATGTTTCGAAGTTTTACCCTTCAAATGAGCATGGTGATATTACATTTCTTTTACCCCTACCTGAAACCAACACAACTAAATTTATCATTTGTCCCTCGGGTTCCTAGTGGAACATAGGGCTTCAGTAGAATGTCTCCATTTCACTCTCTTCTCTCCAGTCTTTTCAGCCTGGCTCCACGTTTGCCAAGAAGCATTCATTTCTCCCCCACACCACCTCCATGTCACCCTCAGCTGGGACGCCAAACTCGTCGTTTCCGATGCGGATTCCACCCCAGGGACTAGCCTGGCGCGTGATGTCCTTGAATGGTCTTCTCAGTGTATGCCAAATCCATCTCCACTTCCTTCCAGTGCATATTTGTTGAGAGATGGGTTCTTGCTTCGTTGCTAGGCTAGAGTTCCTTGTTGCTTATTCTTTTTTGACCATCTGATCTGGTCTTCAGTATCCAGCGAGCGTGGGTGGCAGCTGTTGATGAATGTCTGTAGTTTGTTGGAGATGCTTTTCGTAATCCGTCAAGTCTCTGAACCATACAGAAGCACTGACTTGACGTTGGTGTTGGAAATCCGGATGTTGTTCACGCTTTATGCTGAGTGGAGTGGAGTGCAGAAGATCTCAACACTGGTTCCAGGCTAATCAACACGTGCCGGTCTTGCTTCTCCAATCCTGGCTTTGATGTTCTCATCTGTGCCACCTGTAGTTGAAGTGCTGCTGCCTAGATAGGTAAAAGAGACTACTTCCTTGAAGTTTCACCTCTTGATGGTGACTGCAGCTTGTTGTTGTCATTGGGTATCTTAGGTATCTTCATCACCGCTATCTTCTCCACATCCACTTGAAGTACCGTCTTCACTGCCGTGCTCTGCCTCTTCTGTCAACTTGTTAGTTTTCGCCTGTAGATCTTCAAGTTTGTGTGACATTAGACACAAGTCATCATGGGCGAAATCCAAGTCTTCAAGGTTGTTTTCCACAGTCCAGTGTATCCCCCTCTTCTCACTCCTCACTGTTTGCTGCATGATCCAGTCCACTACAATCAGGAATATCATGGGTGATAGTAGACAACCCTATTTTATCTTACTCCTGTCTTCACTTCGAAGGCATCACTGAGCTTCGCATTCTGAATTACTTGGCATGTGGCGTCGTCATATAGTTGTTGAATGAGGTTGATAAAGGTTTGTGGCACTGAAACCATAGTGTTGAAGCAGCAGTTGGCAGATTACTTCTCGGTCGACGCTGTCGAAGGCCTTTTCAGCGTGGATGGAGTAGAGGTAGAGGGTTGACTGCCATTCGATACTCTGTTCTACGATGATGCGTATCGTTGCAATTTGATAATCAACAGCTTTATAATTTCTTTTTCTTTGTGAGATGAAATAGATGTAAACCTGTAGGAAGATGTTACAAAGACGATTTCCCGCCACTCTATCTTCTTTGTGTAACAACTCTTTCACCTATTTCACCAAAATAATTAATAGATCTGTTGCTCTACACTCGGTGGTACGAATTCAGTGACGCTCTGGTTATCGATGACTGATTAGATCTTATTCAGTGGCTAGAACACAATTTATTCACCTTGTTTAGATATTCTGAATATAATCTACGGTTCGCTTAACGAAAGCGATGTGTCCACTCAGTCAATTTGACCAGCTATTCTTCGGTCTGTTTTACATTTTTCAGACACTCATCAGAAGACTGCAGTGACTAACAACTATCGAGTTTCTGATAAGAATAGTTGATTCGGTCATCCTTGAATAGCTTACGGCTTAGTAGAAACCAAAGTGAGTACTAGACAGTGAATCCTATATTCCTATCTATTAAAAACTGCCACAATCAAGTCATACAATAAAGTCTCTCAAGATTACTCCGGATTATGCATCATTCGGATTAAAATGAACGTCGTGTTTATTAAAATGTTCTCCTGAGTGATTACTTGTTAAAAACAACTTTCAGTACAGACAACTATAGACAGATATGCTCTTTCAAAAGTGTACACTAATTATTAAGTTAACTTTGTTTTCTTTCTTCAAAGTAGTATACACTATCTAATTAATTGGATTATACCACTTGAAAGTCTTTTTCACTAGTTAACTGTCTAATTACCACTACTCAGCACAAATATGGCTGGTTTTCTAATACTATAGCGTTTGCCTTTGATTTGTAAAACTATAACATTCCTTTCTGTACCAAGATTAATATATAAAGCAAAAGATGAAAGAGGCGAATATTCAAACTAAGACTATCACGTTTGTTACAACTGATCATCAGATTATAGAGGAGCTGAAGTCCGAAAGATGAATGACTTTTTGGGGTATACATTTGATTCAAGATACCTACAGCAATCAACAATCAACCAAATGTTCGGAAAGAACTCAAGTAGACAAGGAGAGGAAGCAGATAAGTATAGGAAAAGCAACAAGTCACAAGATTTTTTTGGAAAAAGAATAGCCATGAAAAACTCATTCACAGACTTCTGTAAACAATATCGAAACGAGGCTAAACCAAAATGGGGACGTTTTCAAATAGGATTGTTAATTGGCTGTTTCGCTACAGTGGCTGGCATACTTGCTGTACTCAGCATTTATGAGTTTGCGGGGACGAAACCTACACATACGCTTGAATTGCCATTCTGGAAGTCTACCGTTGGCTATTGGGTAGATGTATTCGCCTTCAAAGATTCTTCTGGTGATTTTGTTGGTGATCTAAATGGTAATTAAAATCACTTTGATAGTCTCTTTACTCTTTTTGATACCGTTAAAAAGGTCTTGCATCTGAGGTAGATTACATCAAAAGCGTAATTGGCGCCGGGTATGTTATATTAGGCTCCATTACAAAAGGATTCTATACTAACCAACATAATACACTTGGACTAGTGGATGATTATGAAGAATTAGATGAGTCAGTTGGTACAATAAAAGATTTCCGTCTTCTCATTAAACGATTTCATAAGCAGGATGTGAAGATCATTCTGACTTTTGATTTCAACTCAGTCTCCATCAATCATAAATGGGTTGTAAACAATACAGTAAAACTAGCAGATCTCCCAAAGAATGTGGGAACTAATGTAGGTGAAATAATTATTTTACTTAGTCGAATAATTTTAACTCATTTTTTCTTCAGTATACTCGGTACGGAAAACCATCAAATGTGGAAATCACCAGACAGAATTATTATTCGGTATTTGGATACCCGAGTGTAGACTTAAATTTGACCGATTCACATACTCAGAAAGCAATAATAGTATGTTTGAATTGCTGAATTCATTGACCACTTGTTCACCAGGATGTGATTGATTACTGGATGAAAGAAGGAATTGATGGAATTCTTCTGGATAACTGTGCATTTCTTGTAGAAGATAGTGACACATCGAAGAGATCACAAGCCATGGTAAGTACTCCAGAATTATAAAAATTCTTTTTATCATCACCTCATTTTCCCTTCTACTATTTTAGACAATGTCATCTTGGTTTGAAGGCTATCCAATTCATCAGTTATACAGACCTGGGAGCTTACAGTTCATCCAGCTCGTCAGACAGGAAATCAACAAGTGGATAAGAAAAACTGGAAAGGAAAAGTAAGTCCACCTATTTTAGTTATAAATATAGTATTTTTAACTTTAATCAAACTTTAGAATTGCATGGTAATAATAAAAACACATCAGTGACACGTAGGAACATATTCAGCGTGACTGCCTACTTTGAATATATGTGCTTAAATCATCCATTTACTTTGGTAGAATTTCTAACCAAGAAATAGGGGACAATTTTGAATGCTACCGTTGTAACTGATGAAATAACCAATCAGGTCTGGATATTCCAGCCAGAAAGGCAGTTTTGCATAAAACAGAAAAACGTAATTGGTTACCTGAACAGTTGCTAGGGTGGTCCTTAAAGCCACTTGAAATAGGTACTTTATCAAATATTCACGGCACATGGATTTTTTCAGAAACCTAAGCTTGTAACTTAGTTGTTCATACATCTATAATCCTTAGGAAAGGATCAGCCTCACTCAGATGAATGTCATACCAGATAGGTATTTCAAAACAGCCACTCTGTATCCAGTAGCTTTCAGGTGAACATGATGCATTCGAACCATGGTCACATAAGTCCCATTTGATCTGAAATTTATTGCTCCATTTTAAATGCAGATGAATTGATGCCATGCCTTCAGTTATCATTATTCGATGATGAGGCTGGTAGGTCAGTTGGTTTGTGAAAATTCATGCACTGTGTATCTCCTTGCAGATGAAGTCTCTCCTAGAACCTGATCATAGGGTTAGTAAAGGGTAATAATAGGGAGTGACTTTTTGCACATAAATACAGCCATCCATACACATCACTACAGCCGACCTACATAGTAACCGTCAAGCTTAAGATAAGCTAGAAGGTATCTCACAGCTGTCTTGATCAAGCTGGGTGCAGGTTGTCATATTCTGTTACTGCTCAAAATATTTGTAGTGAGTTCTCTTTATTTCAAACTATATATTGTCCTATTTTTCCTCAGGGTAGCAAACTGCGTGTACAACACTTTAGTGGTTCGCCTACTCCCAGACATTAAAATCCATAGGTGAATTCATGAATTCGCATTTCATTATGTTGATATGAGCATATGGGGATGCTCCTGAAGCTGTTTGGAGGACTTTCCTGAGTAAGTGACAAAATTCAGCTATGCATTGAAGAAGCTGACAAATTATATTCACAGAAGGACTTGAGTAGTGTCTGTTCAGTAGTCTAGAGCCTACAGACTATGCACTCTTCAAAGCATCTCTAACCAGGACATACTCAAACTCACTTTACAAGGCTCCAGAGTCTTTCCACACCTAATCACTAAAATTCAGTATCTCAGAAATGGACCATCGCTAAAGATATTTTGAACTCCCTTTTACTGTTTTTGGCATAAAGCCTAAGATAAACACGAGACCTTAGGTATTTGACTACTTTCTAATTTGTCAGAGTGTATTTTACTTTGCATCCAGTCGTGACAAATTTTTGGTGAGGTGCATGTATTTGATATTTCTTGTCATTTAATCCAATCAATATCATCTCTGTGTTCATTGTCGAAAATTCTGTGCAGATTGCTGGCTGTATACACTGGTGATGCTGGTTATGGTTTGTCTAATGAGAGTGATCCAATGCTGATGTTCAAAGATATGGTTGATGTAATAATCAGTCGAGAATTTGTCACATACAGAGGTTGGAAAATACATAGCAACTGGAACAATGCCGATCTGCGTCATTATGCTAAATATTCAGATGAAGAGAGAGAGAAATTGGGATTATGCGTATCCACACCATCTGATCCATTATCGAGAAATCTGGTTACATTAGCAGCAACATTCTTATTACCAGGTAGGCTGATAAAATATTGATAAAGTTGGTTGTTACTCAGACTATCTGAAGATTACATCCCAACACTTCTTCAAACTATTATCGGACTTTGTGACTTAGAATGTCGTTGCGAATGAAGATCAATAAATGTTAGTCACACTGAGATGTGGCTCAGTAGTTTAGGGAAATGATTGAGTAACGGACTCCAACACCAATTTCACGCATTAGGTGTGGCTCATTGTCAACTGCACCGCTGTCCACAAGGTGGCTGAGTGTGTTTCGTTCCAGTCACATTGATGGCGATCCTATACAATGACACTGTTATATCTTCGGCTTGACAGTTTGGCTGATGTTAGGATCTAAACCTCTGTTTCGGCTTCCTATTCGGTTGTATGATTAACGGATAGAGGTTTGCTATTTTCTAGTTGAAACCATGGCCACTAACGTTATACTACTTGTCTGGGTGACAAGGCGAATTTAGATGGCGTGACCTGGATAGCCACTATAGTAACGACCGGAATAACCAATCGATTTCCGTGACTGACTTTAAAGATCATCCTAGCAAAAACTGGGATAACCAACTAGAATTCTCTATTTTATGAAAATCTACCTTTCCAGCCAATATTCAGAAGCCTAATTCCTAAATTTGATTGTTGCCAGGGTGACCTTTAAATTTACTCATTTTAGCTATTTCCATCAGGAGTGAATGGTTTCTCATAAAACTATTATTATTTCTCCCTTGGGTTCCTAATGAAACATAGGGCTTCAGTAGCACGTCTCAAGTGCAATCTGTTCTCTGCAATCTTTTCAACCTGGCTCCACCACAGCCCACAAGCTCTCATTTCATCCTCGCATGATCTCCTCCATGTCATCCTCGGACACCCAAGTCGTCGCTTCCCATCGAGGTTCCACTCGAGGGACTGGCCTGACGCGTGATGTCCCCAGTCCGCCTTCTCACTGTATGTCCAATCCATCTCCACTTCCTTCCAGTGCATATTTGTTGAGTGATAGCTTCTTGGTTGGTTCGTTCCCAGACTTCCTCCTTGCTTATTCTTATTATTCTGGCCATCTGATTTCCAGTGACGAGCGTGGGTGGCAGCTGTTGATGAATGTCTGTAGTTTGTTGGAGATGCTTTTCGTAATCCGTCAAGTCTCTGAACCATACAGAAGCAATGACTTGACGTTGGTGTTGGAAATCCGGATGTTGTTCACGCTTTATGCTGAGTGGAGTGGAGTGCAGAAGATCTCCACACTGGTTTCAGGCTAATCAACACGTACCTGTCTTGCTTCTCCAATCCTGGTTGGCTTTCACATCCTCGTGTGTGCTTGTGCCACCTGTAGTTGAAATGCTGCTGCCTAGATAGGTAAAAGAGACTACTTCCTTGAAGTTTCACCCCTTGATGGTGATCGGTGCTTGTTGTTGTCATTGGTTATCTTAGGTATCTTCATCACCTCTATCTTCTCCACGTTCACTTGAAGTACCGTCTTCACTGACCTGCTCTGCCTCTTCTGTCAACTTGTTAGTTTTCGCCTGTAGATCTTCAAGTTTGTGTGACATTAGACACAAGTCAGGGTTGTTTTCCGCAGTCCAACGTATCCCCATCTTCTCGCTCCTCACAGTTTACTGCATGATCCAGTCCACTACAATCAGGAATATCATGGGTGATAGTAGACAACCCTATTTTTTCTTACTCCTGTCTTCACTTCAAAAGCATCACTGAGCTTCCCATTGTGAATTACTTGGCATGTGGCGTCGTCATATAGTTGTTGAATGGGGTTGATAAAGGTTTGTGGCACTGAAAGCATAGTGTTGAAGCAGCAGTTGGCAGATTACTTCTCGGTCGACGCTGTCGAAGGTCTTTTCAGAGTGGATGAATTTGAGGTAGAGGGTTGACTGCCATTCGATACTCTGTTCTATGATGATGCGGTGGGTAGTGTTGCAATTTGGTCCGCATATGACTTGCACTTCCTGAATCCAGACTGTTCTGGTCGTAGTTTTGAACCCACTGCTTCCTTTAATCTCTCCAAGATGATGCGGCCTAATATTTCAAGAGGTTTCCGAAGTGGTCAGCCCGTCGTTTCTCTTCTATGGTGATCAGATTTCCTTCATCATCTTTTATTGCTTTCTTCAGTGTTGATCTCTCCCATCCCAGATAGTAACCTGGTTATTTGATACAATGTTGTCAGGTCTGTGTCTCTCCTACCTGCAGCCTGTCCTGCTTCACTTGCAAGTGTGTCGTCGAAGTGTCTTTTGTCTTTGCCTGCACTCTTCTTCACTTCTTTGTCCAGTGTGATGTTTTATACATTGTACTCAGTTCCTCTTTCGTTGTGCATCCCTGCACTGGTTTATCTCTTGCTTCACCATCCTCCTCTCCCTGCTCTATTAGCTTCCATGTGTCTGACGAGATCCATTCCTTGCCTCGTCACTTTTTCTTTCTTCCTAATACGGTTATGCAGGTTTCTTTCCATATAGTTATTCATAATATAGAGAAGCGTACTTAGTTATTTTTGTAGTTGTTTAAATTGTCTTTAAGTGACTGCCCCACACAATATAATATTATTACGGGCGACTCTAAGGGGTACCTTAGCAACCATTAAAACAATCAATTGGATATCGCCATTTACTTAAAATCTCCCTTCCTAGCGGAAATGAAGAAAAGTGGTTGGTTACTTAGGTCGTTTTTAGGGTAGCCTTTGAAGTCACTTATTATTGCTATTTAGAAAAATATATAGGAAGGTGCAAGGCCAGAACGGGATTGAATAAGAACAAAGACAGACAATATGAATAACATTCGAAAATGATTGGTTGTATCTCTCATTCCTTCTAACTACGGATAAGACAGACACAACCCACTTACTGTAGTTATATCCTATTGGAAAGGCCGACGAACATTGGTGAATTATCATCAGCCAATTAGTATCAGCAGGTAGATGATTCCACTTTTTTTCTGTGAGACTGATAAAATGTCACTATTTGCTATGATCTTCGACTTCTTCAGATATTCTGAATTTTATCCGTAGGATTACAAGAGCATATGAACGAAATGTGTATGATAGTAATCGAAACGGCCGACTCATCCTATCTAACGACAATAAACTTTATACATAATTTCTGTAACATAACCGTTTAAAATAGCAATAAGAACCAAGTTTCATACGAAATCCTCAGTATCGACGAGAAATCAGGGAGGAAATAAACCCAAATCACAATAAATTAAACATGATTTACAAGCATTAAGTTATGAGTGCACCTCTGTCAACCAAAGTGAATTAATTCCTTACTGTGTGTAATACATCAGTTTCACACGGATACCAACTGATCCCCGTGTGGGCTAGTGAAGAACGACAGTAGGCAATTAGGGCAGAACAAATCGGAAATCAGCCTTACCAACATCACTCCAACGGTACGCACTGCAAATCCAAGATACCAAGTTCATGAAACAAGGTGGGTATGATCAAAAGATGCTAGATACATCCCTTCAAGTCAGATGTACTACACATGCAGCCTAGTATCCTGATAATCAAAGCTTTATTTCCATAGTCTATGGTGTGTTTGTAAAGTGGAAGAAACGGTTTCCTGATCTAGTTGCATAACTATTACTATTTATTGACATACTTGTTATTCTCTGTTGTTTTTGTTGAACCGAATTGTTCGACCTCTATTGGCATATGGGCTCCTAAGCGTATGCCTCGATATTGCCTGAATGTTAATTATGATAATTTGGTTGGTTGTGGCTAGCAGAAGAATCCAGGACGCGCCTTTCGTCCTATTTGGGACTCGTAAGCTGGACTGCCAACAGAGGTCGAACAATTCGGTTCAACAAAAACGACGAAGAATAACAAGTATATCAACAAATAGTAATAACTATCACCCATTGTACAAGAAGTGCATACGTTTCTCTGTGGCGTAGTGGGTAATGCCTTGGCGTTTGAAGTGGTGGGTACGAAGTTCGAATCCCAGTGGGAACAACACCACTGGGGTGCAGGTACATCCAGCTGACAAGTCCCGGATAGGACGAAACGCGCATCCTGGATTCTGCTAGCCACAACCAATCAAATTAGTTGCATAAGGTCCCAAACTTTCCGGAATACACTGAAATTCAAAGATAGCTAGTTAATGAAGTACATCATTGCTTACCATCCTAGTCAAACTTTCTGAGTATTATTCTGTATTAAACCACCGTCTTGATCATGAATTGAGGAGAAGCCGTCATTAGTAAACATATGAATGAGGATTCTACAATTCATCTGTTCTGTCCAAGTGTAGTATGTTGACTAAACTCATCATCCTCCTTCAGAATGAATCATTAAGAAACACCTGCAGGTTGTACAGACGATACAGTTTAGTAAAATATGCAAACTAACCGAGTCTCCTAAATTCTGGTCGGTTGAAGTGAGCAAAAAGTGACAATGTAGTTACCCTTAAAGTTCACCCAAACATTGCCGAAATGTAATGCTGAAACTTCTTCGATCATAAATATCATGATATGTCATCCTTGAAGGCCAAAACTCTATGCATTGATGAGAATTTCTCAGTCACACTGTTTGAAATGAACGAATTTTGCACCGATACTAAGCCTTATAAATTCTTTTCTCCTATCCTCTCAGAATCCCATCGTGGTTTCTTATCGTAGTGTATTCTAATGATGGGTAGTGGATAGGAGTGAGATCCAGGATGCGCATCCCGTCCTGTTTGCGACCTGTTAGCTGGATGTACCTGCTGCATAAACACTTGATCCAGTTTTACATTTCCTGTGATGGGTACTTCATTTTCTTTTATTGCATCATACAACGTGGTTCCGTATTAAAGCTAGTCTCTCTGAACAGTGCTCACTGAAACTATCACCGGATTGCCCATTAATCCCTTCTGTTCCGAAGGAAATAAAATCTCCTGTGTTGTATGAGTTGAGTAAAGTACTGTTAAAAACATGAACTCCTCAGATGGAATTTGTTCTTTTCTGAATGAATGAGATGAGATGCGTATAAATGCAAATCCACGATGTTTATAAGCTTTGTTGTTTAAGGTGTTCCTCTCAATAAATCGTATAAATAGACTCACCTTTCATGTTATCTTCGTAGGGGTGCCAATAATCTATTATGGAACGGAATTGGGTGTGAATACATTTCAATCAAATTACTATCCTGATATATTTTACCCAAAGGAACGTGACTATTTTATTGGCACTTCTCCACTAACACACTTGCCGATGCCATGGAATTCCGACGGGAAAAGATTCTCAAAGGCTATCAATGATTCCAGATTTGTTCGTTATCTAAGATTGTATGATATCTTAGACACTGTTGAAGTAAGTGAAATGTCTCACTTGTGTGTATACCTCTTGGATAATTATCCGCTTACACACTTCAAATAGTCAATGGCTATCACAATTATTTTACTGGTAATCATGCTTAGTAAAAAGGAACTAACTATTTGAACACCTAGTTATTATGGTCTTCCATCTGTTACGTATAGTATGAATGGATGACCGTTGTACTCAAGTTTCTCTAGAGCTATAACATAAATGTTTTAAATACCAGCCACTGACCTACATCTCTAACAATTTCAAGTACGTATTCTGTTAGAAAACTACTCAGCGGAACTTACGGGATCCAAAACATTTTGGTAGTTCCATCTAACTGTGAATGACGGATAGACAGACAGACAAAATCAAAATAGAACCTCACATACAATTACATCGGTCCAAGTTGCCACACTTCACTGCAGTATACGAAGAACCATTGGATAGGAAGCGACTGTTGTCAAAATAAACAAACGTGCATGGAACCAGGAATTTGAAAATCAAACTTGGTGAGAATGTTAAAGCTTCGAAAGACATCAAAAGTGAATACATCTACTCCAGTGTGACCAATTTTCAGTCATTTGACCATGAGTTCTCAACCACTGATTCCTTTCGTCTCGCGGAGTCCAACCAAGCATTCTACGTCTCCTCACACGGTTCAGGCAGTCAGTAAGAGACTTCATCGACTGGTGTCACGTCTTGAACCCTCTTTCAATCTAATATAGTTTCGCCTAGTATGCACGTCGAGATAGACGGTCACTTGATATAAGCAACTTATGTCCAAGCCATGTCAGTCGGTAAAGGTTAACAAGCTCATCGGACGACCTTCCTTCTTCGTCTAGTACCCTTCACCTAATCTTTACATTGTTCACATGGTTTTATGATTACAGCTTAATGCGGCAACACTAAGTGTGAAGACAGAACAGACACAATTTTTTCATGATAAAAATTTATTTTCATGTAATCGTGTAACTTTTGAAAATGAATCGTTGGAAAGGATTTCCCTCGTTGAACTTTTTTTTCTATGACTTAATGCTAAAAAAAAAACCATTTCTCCTCTTTTAAAGGATTCCCTTGTTGAAGGACGTGAAGACACTATTCTGGGTCTTGTTCGAAGTCTTGTAACCTTGCGTGAGAATCCAAGTCTGAAGTGGGGAGCTATGGAAAAAATTCGGTTTCCTACTCACGTACGTCAGTTAGTGTTTGTTTTTGTTCTTGTCCTCCTCATAAAAAAACGTTTCACTTTATCCAGTATTGATTTTGATGTATGTAATGTTCTTATAATGTCTAACGGGTGACAAAATAGCACTTCTGATTTGACTTCTCAAGTTTTCGAGTATCCAAGATGAGAACTAGTACTAATGAAAAGCATTTGGAGAAGTGGTAGCAACACAGTCTGTATGCACAATATTGCGCCGATACTGTGCTTCATGACATCTCAAGTACTTGTACATTTTGCTGAAGATGTGGATAAAATCAATAAGGACCTTGGTTTCAATGCATCGTCATAAAAATTATCGGGGTCACGTTTTCGGGATTACAGACAAGCAAACGCTGAAACTTTTATCATTGAGGACTCTCAGTCTTAATGACTGCGTTGATCCAATTACTTTCGGGAACAAGTGTTGTTCATCTCACATTTCTATGACTGTTTTCTGCAGCTTAACAACTTCTTATGTGATCAAGAATACTTCTCTCTATACTTCATTAGATCCAGATAACTGCAAAGTGTTCCATCATATTCATACAAACTAATATCCATCTTAACTGTAATACATAAATTCATAGTCTCAGTGATTCCCATGTAATCCTTGGATCGCCATTCCATTTTCAAATTATTTAGGTGTAATTAGTGTATACACTCAAATAGCCATTGTTTTCTTAGTCTCATCACAGCTGATGTGAAGCTATGAAGTGAAGCGGAGTAATACTGCTGTACAGGTCTTTCCCATTTTGCATCTGTCTACATTCATTTTCCACTTGTATATCAATAACGTTTGTTCCAATCACTCACCAGTTTCATGAAATTTCTCATGGAAATACGCTAGCGAATTTCAGCTTGATATCAATCAAGGTTTCTTGCTACTAGGTAACACGGTAGCTTCAACAACATCTAGAATCAGTTGATAAGAGTTGTCTCATTTCACCTGAAAACCAATGATACATCACAAAATTTCCGAGAAAAACAGTCAGGTTATTCATAACGAAGTGATCACAGCAACTGATTTCACTATCGCTAAACGGTAAGTCAGTTTTACAGAAATATACACCGAAAAGTAGTTGGCACGCCAACTAATCCTAATGTCTGTTGACAATGTGATACTCATCTATCTCAGAAACGTGAATGATTTTTATATGTGAACTCACCACCTAGTGTCTATATCGTGATGAGCATGTACTCCAAAAGATTCGAAAATGTCTCTCGTAGGTGGAGACAGAGATCATCTTGGATTACATCTGAGTGAATTTATCAGATTTTAAATAATCTTATAGCCAATTATTTCAGTAAAGTGCTATTTCCTTCATTTTTTTTTCAGTACTCACAGCATATTTTTGGGTTGTTCACAAGGAGAATAGAAGGCTTTCCAACGTTCATTATTGCCTTAATGAAGTCCAATATACCAGGGCATATTATTCTGAACTTTACATCCATTTGTCCGTCAGTTACACCTCAGATTGTCTATCCTTCAAATCTGAATTTTCCAGTTAACGTTTCGTTGCCAAGTTCGAAAATTACAGTTCAAGGTTATTTAACCAGTGATCAAATCTTAGCATTTCAATGCAATTGAACAACATTCACACAATACATTGACTATTTAACAGTTTATTTTGATTACATTACTGTCCGGATTATTTAAGGAATTTTTCTCTGTTTGATTTCATCGGATGAATAAGTAGTATTTCCTTCATTATATTAACAAATAATTACAGTTGATCACCATTAGCAACATGATCAGTCTATATGAGATAAATAAGGTTTCAGGGTTGTGAGAATTATTCTGCGCTTTAGTCAATAAAAGTAGTCCATTTATGTAAGCTGATTCATCTGTACCAATAGAGAAAAAGAAGTTAGAATGAATAGGATATTTACTCACTTGAACTAAAAATATTCGGTGAATCAATTTACCTTTTAATGTGACTAGGAAGTGTCCTTCCACAAAATGAATTGGATGCTTTAATAGTCTATCAGTATCCACAAGAGCCATTTCATGTTAGAGGGTATTTTTTTGTTGGGTACTGTTACGAACTACTGAATCACTACTGCGCACAATTAACAGGAATGAGCATACCCAGACAAGTGAGTTATGAACTAAAAAACATGACAATAAAATGGCTCATTATCGAAGTGTTTTTCTTTGCACTCAAAGGCTAGAAGGAAAGGTCTGCGAACGCACCACCTGACCTCTCAATAATGACATTTATTCATAGGGGAGTAGTATTTGTAAGTTGGGACAGTCTTCTAGTACTCCGTTTCCCACTTCAAAGTCAACTGACATCTCATCACAAATTAAGCCTTCATTCTGACTACATTTCGCTGTAAACCGAGACAGCTGATGATAAAGAATTTAAGGGAACTCACAGAATAAGTCTTTTTTCAACTGTATCTTTGTAATCGCTCTGTGTACATCAAATGGTGTACGTCAAGGGTGTCCACTCTAGCCATTTGTTTATTTTTGTCACAGGAGTTCTTATGGGATTCATCTAATCAAAAGAGAATCCTCTGTAGATCTAAAACGCGCAGATGACACACTTCAGCTAGATGAAGACGCTGATAAGATGAAGAGTCTTCTGCGTACCTTGAGTGGTCATTCGAAAATGTTTGAACTGCCTTTCTCCCCATCAAAAGGAGAATTGTTGCTCCAGGACTGATCTTTATCAGTACCCCGGCTAACAACAGAGAGTAGAGAGGTTGAATGCACTGACCACTTCACTTACCTGAGAAGTCGGATCAGCCATGGTGGCATTAGTCAGTGGCTGATGAAATCTCCGCATGAATACAAAAGGCTAGATTGACTTTCGCCCACTTACACTATCCGTGGAGCCGCCGTGATATCCAATTCCCTACAAAGGGTAGAATACATTGTACTTCCGTTCGCTCTGTTCTTCTGTATGGCTGAAACATGCCCATTAAAGGTAAAAGATACGAAGCTTCAGGGATTTGATCACCGTTGCATAAACCGTGTATACTAGTGTCACCACACCAGAAACGCAAAAGCCAGATACAGAGTTTTAAGGAGAGCAGGAAAATCAGTTAAGAAAATCGTGAACCTTCATCGATTGAGATAATTGGCTGGGACATATGTTACTCATGTCTAGTCACCATCTGCCTTGACACGTAATGTTGACTTAGGTAGCTTCGGGCTAGAAAATGTCTCGGAGTGACCAGACTAAAACACGGCACCAGTGTATGAAGTCTCTAACTCACTGACAAAATTAACGTAGAACTTTGCACAAAAGTGCATCAGTTCAAAATGACACATATCATAGTAGTATACAAAGAACAAGTGGACAGGAAAAGACTGATATCAATGCAGATAAAGTTGTGTGGGAGAATGAACAATCTGAAGATAAAGGTTAGTGCCAATATCCAAGCTTCAAAAGATGTCAAGCAGTGAATACATCTGAGTCACTGCGACCGATTTCCAGTCATGCCACCAAACATCCTCAACCACTGATTTCTATCGTTTAGGGGACCTTAAGCGGGTAGTCTACATCTTCTCACACGCCTCAGACTAACAGTAAGAGACTTCATGGACTAGTGCCACATCTTCAATTAACCTAATCCAACTTCCCCTAGCACGGCGCGTCGAGGCAAGTGGTGGCTCGGCATGCACAACACATGTCCGAACCATTTCAGTCGACTAAGGTCCACAACCTCATGAATCGACTCGCCTACTAACCTTCGTCTGATATAAACACTCCTCACACGATGACTGTACCAGATGCGACCAATGCTACGAAGACACCTTTGATCATAACTCTCCAACCGATTCATATCTTCGACTTCCAACTGCCATATCTCACACCCATATAACAAGACATAACGGACTGCAGAGCAATTTATTCATCCTTTGATAGGTAGTCGGATAATTTGCCAGCTCGCGACACACATGATGCGATTTGACAACTGCCAAACGGGCTTTCAGTATCCCAGTTGAGATTTCGTCAGCTACAAAGCCATTCGGGCTATTGCGACTCCCCAAGAAAATCAAGTGGTCGACACATTCCACCATTTCGATCCCCATCATTGAACTGAGAGTGACTGCAGACCAGTCCTAGAGCACCATCTTACATTCGGCAGGTGCGAGCAAAACACATGCCAAACATACACAGATTTATGCTTAACGCGTCCAGAAGACCCTCCATTTTTAGCATTTTTCTTTAACAGGACGACATCGTCTGCATACTTCCAAGTCAACCATACAACTTCCAAGGAGTAGGTTTTTAGCTGTTGGTCTGAACCATGTAGGGAGATGTAGACTAACTGATTGGGGTCCATATGACAACAGAAACCAGTGGTCGGAGACTCTGGATGATATGGTCTAGAATATATGTCAGTGGCGCTGATGCACATCTTAACCGTTGTACTGAATTCAGCATATTTTCACCCCTTCCTCTTTCTTACTGCTTTCGACTGATTTTCCATTCTATTATCTTGCTATCTGATGTGCTGGTATAAGGTGTGGAAACTTGGACCGTTACACAATAATTCCTGGTCTTAGGTTGATTGATGATGATCAATCGCTCTACAGTAATAAAAAAGATCTGTAGTAAATATTTCCTATTCATTCAGCTGACGACAGATTGAGTGCCTGTAATTATAACTTACGAAACAGCAATAATTGTGTAGAGTAAGAGAGAAAACTGACTATTGATAGTTGGAACGTTGGTGGAGCGACTAGATGAATTTCCTTTTGACTAACTGTAATTTCTTAGGCCGACGTAAAACGGAAACCCAATTCATGAGTGATCGAGTGGACTATCCACCTCACTCGCATACAGTACACAATTCTTCTTTAACTGATTCTCAAAGTCTATCACTCTCTTTACACACCAGCAGAAGAGTTCCCGAAATTGGCATAGCACGAAGCTTACTGTCTATACTCATTTAAAAATTTTGGTAATTACACATCAAGACCAACTTGGTCGTGAACTGCTCTTACGCTATTCACCTAAACAAAAAACCTAAGACCAATTAAGTGCCAATTTGTAAGTAAAATGCTAAACCATATGACTACCTGACCAACGATATTTAGAACCCATTGATTGGTCACTGGAGAGCAACAAATTTCATATTGTCTAGTTCTGAGGGCTGACTGAATGCTACTAGTCATTTTTCAATATGGCCACCAAGCTAGGACGCTTACCAAGACGGTGTACTTCTGATGGTTGTTAGTTGGTTGGAGGCAATCGGCAAAAAGCCCTGCTTGGCCTAAGTTTTGCGCTTTTTGGTACTTGTCAGCAAGGTGTATCTGCAACCTGGAGAGAAATGATGTCCTTCCTGAGATTTGAACCCGTGTCATCCAGTGTTGAGGCTAGCGACATTACTACTATTTAGAATGAAAGACTGAATATCTGACCAGTCGAAACAGGTGTTCCATGCATAAACCATTAGCCACACTACTCATTTCCTAGTTAGTAATATGAGTGAAAATGAGATGATATTTCACAATTATTCTAGTTAGCGACATTGCGACAATAAATACGTCACTCTTATCACCGTGTTAGGAAAGTATCGAATATCTGTTCCTACCATTGGTCCTCTAATTTTATTTATTGATGATAATAAGAATGTTTTTCGTAATATCAAAGTAGATAAAGGCGTAGGGGAGAAGAAAACTGAATCCACACCTGAGAGTGTGGATGTCAAGAGAGAGTTGTTTTTTGAGCTTAGTTTTCAGATGGCAAACATTTCAATCCTATGCTAGCTGTCATCGTCAGAGCTTCACAAGGAAGTTAAGTAACTGGATATTTATAACGTGCTACTTTGCTTTAATGTAACTTGACTGATCACTTTGTGAGTGTGTGGACGCATGTTGAATCTGGTTGGCTGACTTTCTACCTTTAGCTTTCACAGACGGGTGCATAACTGAACGATTGGTCAAGTTCCTGCTGGCTTGCTGTACTTTGAGGTTGCGTTGTTGTGACTGGTTAGCCCATTTTGTCTGAATAAATTGATAAAAGTCACTCTGATCAGATTGATTGACAGTTTATTTGACTGAAGTTCTGAAGGCTGACTTGGTCTATTTACCTAGTTTGTACGCATTACAAGGGTGCTCAACGTTGCTCCAACTGAAGGAGTGTTCTTTGCCACTGGTGGTGGATCAAATTTTACTGGAGAGGGGGATACCTTTTATGTTGATCGCTTATGTGCAACAGTCTGGTTCGCTGTACATGCGTTATAATATTGACCAACCTGACTGATCTTTTTGGTTGTGTCATGGATAAGCCGATTTGTGCAGTTAATTTGCTAAGAACAGGTTCTCATACTGAGTCTAGGTCAATGTGGTGATTTACTGTTAATTTACTTGAGCAACAGGTCTCAAAAATTCTCGGGCCGCTTTAGAGTTTGCACATTTGAGTAGTAGTGGTTGTTGTTGTTGTTGTCCCAATCAGACGTGTGGATGTAGTTGTAATATTATTTTGAGATGAGAGACGTTACATAATGACATTTGACAGCCAACTTATACCCATGCAAGCGTTATAATACCGGTCTACCTGATCGCCCTACATGGTGGTGTTTGCAGTTATTGGGGTCGACTTTTTAGGTGACGTTGGTCATCTCTGTTTCACTGACTGGGTCTTTGGTTTGCATAGGACAACCTGTAGTAATCTTTTTGGTTTATGTGACACTGCCATTCCAAGTGGGTCCAATAATCTGGTTGTCGTTTCCAAAGTATTTTTGACGTATGAGAGGAAACTTTTCCTGTTTATTTTTGTAGCGAACTATGATTATGTTCATTTGAAAAGACATGACGAGATTTTTTGAAAAGCCACTGAGTTGGAACATTTTGAGTAAAGGTTTTTTCAGATTCCCTTTATTCTATTGTACTACAGTGTATGTCTGTTCGTCTAAATGACGTTGCTATACATTTCTTACCATGCGATATAAGACTGTTGTTGTTGCTGGAATTTAGTACCTGGTTTGTATGCGTTGTTTTCCTGTTCACTGAAATTTCAGGGTGTTCATCATCATTTATAGTAACCAAAATATCTAAAATTGCCAGTTGTCTGTTATTTTCTTCTTCTTTCAAGAATTTGGTTCCCTCGAAAGAAGTATTCATGAGTTATTTAGTAGATTCGATATCAGTTTTTAGGTTATTATCATTTTGAAACATGCTTAGGATAGTTTTTCTGACAAGTTTGTGATCTATCGATGTACGAAAGATTTAGACATCGAAAGAAATCATCGTTTCACCTTCATATATTTTGATACCCTTGATTTTCTCCAAGAAATGAGCCACTGAATTGGTTGATTCATTGACAAGATGGTGTAGTTTCCAAATACATGATTAAACTGTGATGTAGTCTTGGCATAATGATTGAATTCCAAAGGGATAACTTGATAACAGCAGTATTCGAACAAATGACTTATAGATTACCAGTCAAGTGCTCTACCGATTGATCTATGCAACCTAGTTGCTAACTAGGTCTCAACTTTACTTCAATTATCGATAGTTTCTTCGAGCCGCTACATGAATGAATAACCAGTAACTATTCCTTCATTTATGGATAAATACGTCAGCCTTTTTAAGCTCAATGTAATGGGTTTGTTTTAATTTTTAAACAACAATTGTGCTAGAGTAGGTTGGATAACAGTGATCGATAATACTATGTAGGCTTACAGTCCCATAAACCTGATTTTCAGATAATGAGCCATGGGTTCGAGACCCATATCACTTTTTTGAAAGCCTAGTAGAATAATGAGAAACAACAGATATGCTTCATAGTCTGATGATCAGCGATTCTAATAGGCCACTCAACAATGCCACGAAATATTCCCCACTGGAAATAACACGGTGAGAGTAAAAGAGCGGCAATAGACATACCAGTAACAAGTATGTAAATAGTGTAAAATGAATTTGAAAACTGACAGATTCATTTAGAAAATGTATACCAGTGGTAGTTTATTTACACACAGGCAACGACCCATCGTAATCAACTTAAGTCTTGGCAATATACATATATATGTAAAGCTAAAAGAAACTACCATGCAAATTATTATCGCTACCGCCAGTATTCTAATGCTACATTGTCTTCATCTGTAGCTGGACGCATTGTTTTTGTACCATCTGCATGCGTTACTGTTAACTTTTTGTCTTCATCACTTGCAGTCTTTACCAGTCTACCTTTGTATGGGCCTAAAAGTGTAGCATCAGCCTCAAAAATTGAAATTCCTTTTGTATTGATCATGAATTTATCCGTTATCTCTGGATCCTTCAAGCGTACACGTACTAAGCTTCCACGTGGATAAAACTGGTTCGCCGGTTGAGGGCAGACACAGTGAAACTTTCCACCAAAATCTATATACAGGTCTGTATCATTCACATTATCTATGACAACGCCGATTAGCTGGAGAAATACAAAAAACGGAAACAGGAGGTATAATTACTAATGACTAGAAATCAAAACAAAAATTCATTTTCTTTAAACAAAAATTAAACTATCAAGTGATCTTATGGTCGATGAGGATACCTGACATCGCTTTATACCGAAGTTGATTTGGCGGCTAGCTGTGCGATCCATAATCCACGCTTCCTCCTATGTGAAACTCATCAACTGGATGTGCTTGCATCCCAGTGAGTGTTGTTACCACTGCAACTCGAACCCAGTACCAAAGCGTTGTCCACAAGACCATTGGGGCACGATAGCCAATACTTTTGCAATGAGTTTCAGTTGTTGTTTATTGATACTTGTAGTTTTCCGTAGCTCTACTGGGTCGAATTGCTTTAGTTTAGAAGACTGCTCTGAAATAATGGAATCATGATTAAAATTGAAAAAAAAATCTGGGTTACAGTATGACTCGAACCAGTGGAACGGCATAAACAGATAATTTGGTCAGTGCTGTTTGCAGAGTTATTTCGAAACTTTCATCTGGGCTTCCTTTCTTTACACGAAGACAACATCAATGGTTAGTTAATAAGAGTTGACACTAGTACCAAGGACATTGATACGGTCAACTGATTCAAACACTTTGATCAATATTCTGAAATGAAGCGGTGATGCATATCTCATTTCTGATGCATTAGTTAAGCTCGTGTAAAATCGAATGTCATCCGATTGTACAATTTATTACTAACTACTGTTTTACAGTACACTTTCCTCATGTTTCTCGTATTATAGATACGCAACTGCCAACCAGATTTTTACAGATTATCATGTTAATCTTACACATGCATGTTCCGTTGACCGTAAAGGTTGTTTTATTACACAGAACAGGAGTTAACAAGTTATATGAATTACTACTGAATATGAAGCTAATTAAACGAAAGAAATTTATCGAAACTTGAATAAGAATAAGACAGAAGAAAGAAACGGTCAATCTTAGAAAAATGTCAACGTTAAATCCGAGCAAAAATGCAAACAGTGTGTGTCATACTTAAAAAAAACCCTCACAGTGGTAGTTTTCGATGAGAATTCTCACGTAGATGACAAAATTATAGTTAACATTGCCTACAGACTCTCGGTGATATGGCTTAGAAACGGTTATGATAACTCTGGTGTATACGATAGTTGTTACATTTGAGTTCTTGAATATTTTCACCAACCTTAGTCTATCCTCTCTGTCTATCTGTCTCTCGCTTTCTCCTCAAACACTTTTGTCACTCTTCCTCGATCCACTGCTTCGCTGTATGCTTGCATAGTCTTCTGAGAATCTTTGGTGTTCCAGTACAAAATCATCGGAATGACAGATTAAACTGAGATGGATTGTATAAATGACAAAGGTATATCCTCAGAGACTAACTTCGCACTTTCATGTCCCGTAAATCAAAAAATGTAAATACAGGCAGTTACCAAAGTAGAGAATCTTCTTACACGGTTTTACGACTTTGTCCATGCATAGATGATTGAATTAGAACAAGTCTGGCGTCAAATCAAAGTCAAAAACGGAACGCGTCTAACAAACAACTGCAGTATCCAAGCAAAATTAGTCCAAAAATGTCTCTAACTCTTGAAACTACGAGTATCTGTGTATAAAATGCCTAAACCTTTTATGTCACTCTGCTTATTCACAGAAGTCTCAGCAGCTTCCACTCTCAAGACCCGACAATCCAAAGACTCTTAAACTTCTTCTTTTTCATTATTATTGGGCATTTCTGATGTATTCAAAGCCTTCTCTTTTTCAAATGGGCTTTCCAATGACTAACCAGACCTAAGTGATAGATCAGAGTCCCTGAGTCAGAAGTATTTGGAAAATGAAATGTCTGTTTGTAATCTGTATCTAGACTACAAAACGGCCTGAATCCAGAATGCAACTAAGGACTGGTTCTATCATCAACTGAACAACCTCTCCAGTCAAGTGCGTTCGATAGATATCATAGTGATAACTAGAAACCTGAATAAGCAAATGCTCACAAGACAGTCATTTCGGTGGCTAATGGGGATTGGTCAATCAAAGGTCGGATAATGGGGATCATCTTCTGCATCTTATGTCGATCACAACCAGCTTCTGCCTAGCACCAATATCCTACAAAGGCGTTACCATTGTACTACCTGGTATCCTTTTTCCATTTCTTAAACCTCAACTAAAATGGATCGTATTGAAGTTAGCTACCGGTGATGTGGGAGTGATCATGAAAGCCGCTCCCTCCGGAGCACCCATACTTAATGAGTATTATGTTATTCTCACTTTAAGAGATCAGTAAAGTCGTCGTCCTAAGTGGGCCAAATTAAACAAATTGGTAGCAGCCTATGTTGTTACTAAATATTAAACCGAGCTAGATTCAAGACTAGTTATCGAACCTCCCACGGGTATAGATGAGCATCGGCTACATCTACAGAAAATCATGCAAGTGGTGAGTAAAGCTGTTTATGGGTTCAGAGAACATTTCGCTAATAAAAACTAGATCTCTGAGAATCCCTTATCGTTCTAGACGCACACCAGTCTTATCACTAGGAATATGTATAATGGTGTGCATAAGTTCGTCATGCAAAAGATTGTAAAGCACCCATAGATAATAACTGCGAGGCTTAGTGGTTATGAAGTACGAACCAGACGGGAGAAGCGGTTGCATCTAGCAATAGCTGGGAGCTTTTCCATTACACTCCAGTAACCGTTAAAAAACCTGATGTCGATGACACAATCTGTAACATGGATAGTATGCCGACTGGAAATCTTCAAAGATACCTAGAAGGCTGGATAAAACATGGCCGACTGCTTCAGCCTCTTGTGCACCACGGTTAATTAACACTGCCTGACCTAACAAGAAGGAGGTTCAGAAGGGACTTCAAATACTGAAGCATCATAAAGCATCCAGTACTTACAGCCGATGTTTTCAAGAATGTATTAGAAAGAACTGTAATTCACTATGTTGTTATATTACATTGTATGACGCATTACATGAAGCTGACGTTATATCGAGTCTGCGTTGAAAATAAAAATAACAGTGTTACGTCAGTTTAAATATACCGGTCATTGAAAATGGATTATCTACACTCCACAACTCTTGTTACAGGTGGTTAGAGTTGAAACCTCAGTGTCATTTTCTTATATAGAGTGAAGCTAAACAGCAGTCCCTTGAAAGGTTGTCGAAATTATTTCGTACAGTTTTCCAAATGTCTTCTTTGAAAACACATTTCATTGATTAGTCACAACTATCACATTTCTACTGACAGTTACACTCAACACGATGACTATTAATGATAAATAACTTCTCAATCGCTTGTTCGATATTCATCAATGAATGCGGTGATCAGATAGGCTATTAATCCTTCTTCAATCCAATCAATCACACTCTTCTTTGCAGTCTATATTGTAGAAATGCAATATCATATATCAATCACCTATTGTGATTAATTTACTGGTTGGTATTAGGTCAATAAAATAAACTTACCACTGTTTTAACAGGTAACACGGTTAGATATCATTAAAATCAAACTATAAAAATAAATGAACACAAGGAAGAACAACCAGAAGGGATAAACTTTAAGATATGCCCTACATCACCCCTTAAACATCATATGATTTCTTTACACATATGCTGACGATCAGTTATCGGATTAATAGTGAGTATCCAGTTACCGCATACAGCCATCTTAATTACTACAGTGAGAGGTGCCGAAAAAGATTTTCCAAGATCATAATGTTAACATGATATGATATTTTCAATGTTTAACTCATTTTATCTAACCTAAGTGTGTTGATTTTTTCTCATTGACTAATTTCTATCTAAACAAGTTACTGGTTAATCCAGTTCCTATAAGCTATGAAAAGGTATGCAAGTCGGAAAGCTGATATTTGGTTTTAAACTAGAATGATTAATTTAATAAACTATTTCATTCAGTGAACGCTTCCTCCAGTAAGTGAAACTGAGAAGAGCTAGAGGAAAAGCCTTCTAATATTCAGTTTGGTAACTAATATTCTGGCATTATCAGGCGACCGATATCACCAAGTAATAAATCTATGTTCATTAAATCGACATGTCTTTTTGACAAGCTTCACATGTTTGGAAAATCTAATTGCCCCTGAAACAAAAAACATAGAGACTACAACTAAAAAACCAAAGAGAAAAGTTGTGATCACTGTAGTAAAACTATCAGTAATAAGTTGTACTAAGTGAGTGACTCTGTCCAACTGTGTGTGACGAAGTGAGACGGGATTATACTCTAACAGAGTCCAAACACTCTACCTTTATATCATGTTACCCATACCTATTCAATCTGTTACCGATATATATAAAAAAAAATACACCTTTCTCTTCCCTCTTGAATTTAAGGTGTAAATCTATAATAAATATTAGATATTATTGGAAAATTATTTGAAATCTACTGACCTACAATTTAAAAAAAACCTACCTCTCGAGATTTGAAATCTCCAAGTTGAATGAATGGGCTGTAACGTAAAAGAGTAGCAAAAGACTCTTTTGAACCTTCTGAATGCTTAGAAAGTAAATTTGATATATTTCTTTCTTTCAGTAATGTACTCATTGTCCATGGAACAAATGAAAATGCATTGAGTACTCGACTTCCTTTCTTTTTATTCTAATAGAATAATAATAGAGTTGATAATTAAATTTTCAAGACATATACCTTTTCAGATTTTACTCTTAAACTAGTAGTTGGAGATGATGAGTCAATTACACTAGATTTTGAATCTTCAGTTACTTTGGATGTAATAACTTGTTCATTGTTTATAGTATCTTCATCTTCAATGATAGAATGTTCAGCCTTTTTGAAAAATTCAATTAATTTGTCTGCACTGACAACAGAATCATTAATGTCTGATGATGAATTGTTCTGAGAGCAAAGAGATCGTTGATATGGAAAAATAAAAGTTTTCAAGGATAAGTTTTTGACTGAGTGCATCAAAAAATGAATTCTGTAACAGAATAAATAGAAAACAATAAAACGTATAAAATAGATTGACCTACAATATGATTTCTAGTACGATCTCACATACATTACATAATAACGATAGATTATCACCTAAAAAATAAAACTGGTTGAATGGAATTCTCATGTTGAAAAGTAAAAGCTTATTTTCTAGGATTTTAATTTATTATTGATATGAATCCTGCTAAGGATGGGTTAGAAAGGGTCAACTCTTTGGTGTATTACTGGCTTCTATGTTTGATGATAAGCAGTTGGGAAGTAATAACCATTTTTATGGTTTCAATAGCACGAAATCCCTCCAGATAAACGTCTCACTCATTTCTGTCGCGTTCTTTTATTATTCCTTATCTAAACCTATTACCAACTATTGCATACTATCGTTAACGTTTCATACTGAAGCAAAAACATTCTCAGCTATATACATTTAATGTAATTACTATATGCTAGACACCCTAACTGTTGAATCACTTGTCAAACTGGACGAGAAGCCTTACTACTCAAGACACTGACACAGTGAAGAACAGAATACAGTTCTGGGACACTCGCATACGTTTTAGGCATGATTCCTGTCCACTGGAAATATCTGACCAACGTGATGATAACAATAATACACATGCTGAGAAAACAGATATATCGCCCTGAGCCACCCATACGGAATACATACAACACTCGAATTTATAGGAATAAGGTATATGCCAAAGAAATCGGAAAGGGAAGAGTGTTCAAACCCATAAGGACCACTCTGGTAGGATTACCTCTGATTCTCATACGCTATTTAGTACACCCGTTAACCTACTCAGTAATTTCCTACCTGCATCCTTAAATCTCCTGGTTGCAAATCATTTGGAACTGCTGCTTTGCATCGTTTCAGGTTTGAAATAGACTGCTTAACTTCGAAGACGGTCGGACGACCGACATCTATGTACAATTCAGGTTCGGGTAGCATGCTGCGCAAATGAAGCGTCGTTGTGGGCCAGTGGAACTGACCTTCAAAGCTTTCCGACAACGTCCCAGCCATCTGTCCTCAGATGTTATCAGAGTCCCAGCCTTTTCGGTAGGGGTTTCACTAACTGTCGTTTTCTTCTCGCCAGTACCTTCAATAAGCAAAAATAACTGCCAAGTAATACCTAATGCTGATGCCTTTCTTCTCCATCTCTTTCGCTCTCGTCACACATCACTGCTCTTAGTCATTAAGAAAACTCTAGGTCAATTGACGTCTAAGCTACCTTCGCTCCTCACTATGATCAGAATCTATCGAAATGAGTCCTCGCACCAATCAGATTGGATGAAGTTGCAAAAATCCACTGGCTTTTGGCTTTTCTCCGGGTGTAGGTTAATAACCGTCATAACCGCCGTTTCTACAATGGACTAGATATCACACTAGACTGCATCAGGAAGAGAGTCACTGCCATTTCCAAACAAATACTCAGCTTGTTTACTGTAACTAGTAAGGCGCAGACACAAACATATTCGTACTATCGCACAATCCCATTCTAGGTAGGTGCTCCAGAAAGAGCAGCAGTCCTTCAATGATGCCCTATACGAATTGGTCTCCATGTATTCATCCTTCATTTTGATATTGACGTACACCAAGTGAGATAATTTCTCCCCTAATTCTTGAATTCGGTGCTGGCCAGAAACAAGTGATTGACTGAGTGAAATTGCAACAGACGATCACCGTTGTCAGTCCGTTGGTATGCGAGTCCGTAAATACCACCAACATGCCTACCTTTCCAATTTTTTCAGCTTCCCTATTTGAGTGTTAAAGTCACCTGCCACTAGGACTATATCTGAACGTTTTGCTTTTCGTAGCAAAATTAACAGCTTCTCAAAAAACCCTTCCTTTGCATCTTCCAAACTGCAGTCGGTGGGCACGTAGGTGGAAGTTACGAAAAGACATCGACCAGTCTCACGATCCTTCCTAGTTCTTACGGATGCATTCAGTCGAACAGAACACAGATGGCTGTTGACTGGTATTCAGTTGAGATGTGTGCTCCCCGCTCGGGAACTTAATGCTACGCCTACACTAGCAGGTCTACGGAAGCTAGCCATTAAATCTCTGAACATTCATAAAGTAAGCTCTAAAGATTCACCACATTGGCCAGGTAAAGTCAAATTATTAATGGCACTCGAGTCTCGGAAACAGCATACATCCACGGTCCGAGGATCCAGAGTTTTGTCAAGCGATGCCTTTTGTCCGATTAGGCATAGGGTTCGGATGTTGAAAGCTCCAATGTGAAATTGATAGTGGAGATTATGGAGACTAGGAATGACATTTTGATAGCTTAGATCGTTAGTAATGGTCGCAGAGTGGGAGGTTAAGGGAGTTGCAACAGGCTTAATATTAGGACCATGAAGTGAAAGCAAAGGAGGAAACATAAGCAAGGAGGTCAGGTTATGTTTGATTGGGTACCACTGGGAGCGCGCGGGCAACCGGGACCTCCCAGCTGCCCACAACCGTGGAAGTTGTCCCTGCAAGCTATCTGAGAGGGGGGAGAGATTAGCTTTGCATAACCGCAGAGCCCATGCGACACTTGTTTGAGGACCGTCATACACAACCTTTTGACGGCTTTTGCTTTGAGATTCGGTTGTTCTTACGCCGGATAGGAAACGCCATACGGCCCGCGCCTCAGTACTACAAAGAAGGGAGGAGTGTACTATTTTTGGGGCAAACCTCTTCTAAACCGCCTTCGCCCTTCCCATAGGGAAGGCAGTATCAGCATGATACTGCTAGTCATCCACGGGGAACAAATTATTGCTGCCACACTCCCGTCCAGCTAGCAGTACAACTTCACCTTAAGACCGCCATTAATACATAGCTACCTACACCGTAACGGCAACTGCTCTTTATTTTACCACTATCCGAAAGATCTTTTCAGCACGGTCGGACCTTAAGAAACAGGCGTTCCAGTCAGTACGGTTCTTTGGGTGGTTGTAATATGCAAGGCTGATCACCACTTCAAGGTAGCTGCTTTCTGTTAGGTTACATATTGATTTCATCATACATGTGCCGTACACAATTTTACAATCTTGCTTAGTGATCCATACTTCTAACCCAAAAGTGTAGACATCGGGAAGTATTTATTTCATTGGAATGGATTCACCAATTGGCTGCTAATTTGCACATTACTTGGCGTCTGAAGGTCAGATTATAACGATTTACCTTCGTCATACTTTGCATATAAGTGACTGTTCTAATTTGCTATTGTCCGTATATTGTTGTTAGTGGGCTTGGATTTCGGTTTCTTGATCTTATTCAGTTTGCTCTGCGAAGTCTTCCCTTGATAACAATGAGTCAACTGTACTGCAGCCTTGATCATAAGTAGCTAATTCCGCCACCAGTCAAGTGTGTAGCTAATCTAGCACAATAAAATCCGCCTACGCACTGCAGCCGCCGTAGCAACATAGAAATTTTTGACGTTGACTACATACAATAGTATAAAACGAAACAGTGTACAACTACTTGATCCCCGTTGGGTAGCTGACTGTCCCTTTAGTTTTTCAGATAAGGGTTGAAAAGTACTAGATGAGCTTTGCAGTTTATCTAATCGGTCAGTTTGTTACGACTGATTAGACGCTATGAATAAGATAGTCACGGAAATGCAATCTGTCGGTGTATGCCTAACATAAACATACTTCAGTCTAAACAAGAAATCTATGGGCAGACCATAACTCCATAAATCAAAAGTATACGAAGTATGTTTAAGATAACTGAATTGAACGAGGGACAGAAACTGTCTCAAATAACCAGCAAACACAGTAATCGAACTAGATGAGAACTCTTTAAAATACACAGTAATAATAAGAACGAAAGTATGTTTTAGAAACGGCATTGATCTTATTTAGATAAAACTGAAATAAGTATAGTCAGATATGTTTAAATGCTTCTGGTGTGAGGTGCAAATCTGAGGACGAATGAATCATACTTTTGTGCGTGGTTCAGACTAGTGTGCCAGACATTCAGATACTAGTTGCCACGAGACTACTGTAGGCGTTTACACAACGGTAAGGTTAGTAGCTCAATACGTGAATGTACATCAGATTACTAGGTTTTAAGTAGCAGTCAAAGGTAGAAACCAAACACTTTCGTACCAGGTTTTGTGTTAATTCATCTGTTTGCAATATGGAACTACGGTGTAATAAAGGACGATAACTTTATCAGGACACCCCTATACACTTAACACCTTTTTTGAGAACTTTGCCGAGCTAAATTCAAAAAGTGACTCAACACTTCAATCTCACCAAACTCAAATTTATTTCATTAGGTTATTTATGGTAGTTACACGACTTTCAACTACGAAATAATGGGAGGATAAGCATCCATAAACATTTTTTTCAACCACATTATTCAATAATTTAGAGAACGATCGTATGTGACAAAACTTACCTATATTTTCTTGCTCTTTGCACGAAATAGAGTAACAACATATTTCACGATCAGTTATGGCTCCTAAATTAAGTGCAGTAATCAGCTCATGTTCAGCAAGAGCATTGGGCAGGTCCCTTTTGTTTCCTAATACTCGTCATACTTTGCATATAAGTGACTGTTCTAATTTGCTATTGTCCGTATATTGTTGTTAGTGGGCTTGGATTTCGGTTTCTTGATCTTATTCAGTTTGCTCTGCGAAGTCTTCCCTTGATAACAATGAGTCAACTGTACTGCAGCCTTGATCATAAGTAGCTAATTCCACCACCAGTCAAGTGTGTAGCTAATCTAGCACAATAAAATCCGCCTACGCACTGCAGCCGCCGTAGCAACATTGAGTGAGAATTACAATAGTGACGTGTTTTCGCTCGTCTCTCAGCTTTTGGATTTTTCCACATTGAAAAACTCCCACTTGCAATACTCAATCTAAGAAGGTCAAGCGTTTGTAGCACTTCTGTTCCTGCACGCACCTCACCGCTGCGTATTCGTCAGCCCACCTCACAACAGTTGAAAATTGGCATTATTATTCCTTTGAACCAACCGGTCTACCTCCTGTCAGTGGTTCTTGGGCGTTTCAACTGCCAAACTGCCTTAGCTCTCGGTTCTCCTCGGAGGTCATTCCCCAGGAAATATCTTTCCTGGTTATACATACGCATCTGGAGCTTACGGTTAAACTCGTTGGTCAAGAGCAGAGGATCAAGTGACAAGTGTCTGAAGGTGAGCCAACATAAATTATCTTCCCTTTTCTATTCTGTCCTTTTGCTGCATTCAGTCTTCAACCCTCTTATTGTTGTTAACTACTTGTTTTCCCAAGAAGTTTATATCATAGCGACATGTCTGCCCAAAAGGCTAGACACGAAGCTTTGACACGGATAACGCGGTCGTGCACAAAAAAGGACAATAATACCCGAAACAACACACTAGTCTGTACTAGAAGACAAACAGAGGTAGGGCAGAACACCGAACTTCTAAAGAAGTGGCCAACCCATGTTTCTAGAATTCCAGTCGCCATCAGACAGGTGACACAGAGTAGCACTAGCCCGTCACAAACTAGTCCTATCTTGAGCAAGGATCATACCATGCCTGAAATAGAAGACGACGTAAAAGGCTTCAGAACAAGGCAGCCACAAGCAGTTCGCCACAATCCGTAGCACCTTATTCATGGAAGGAAGGCTGTATTACGACACCCGATGGCTGCAGTGTTTGCACCAAAGTTGTTTCGGTAGTCGATGAGGCATTTGCATGCAACCTATGTCAACGATGGGCGCATTGCCACTGCGACACCAAAGTCCCCCGACAATACTATAAGCTGATGAAGAGACAACCATGCAAGTGGTTCTGGTACATCTGTCCAGAGTGCAGGAAAATGCCCGCACTCCGCACAGAAAGCCTGAAGGAGATGCTCTCCGCCACGCAAAAGCTACCAGCATCCTCGAATAAAGTAGGGTTAACACCAAAGGATAACACAGAGAGACCTGGAAACAGACCTAGAGCTCCAGCTGTGGGCACGCCACCTCGCGTGGGGACCATATTAGGTCAAGTCTCCATACTCCTACCCGGCCCCAGGGGACGTCAAGCGCATGGCCAAAGACATCGACCGCTGAAGCCTCTACGAAACCCATTCCAAACACCCCACACACCGTGACTGAGAAACAACCAGTGGAATTACTCAAACCCATTGGGAAGTCGGGCGTGCCACCCACAACGAACCCAGGTCACAGGAGGACCAACTCGATCATTTTGTTCAACGTCGATGTATCGACAGACTCATTGTTGGTCGAGAGGGAACGGTTTGACAGCCGAATGTGGACCGACTACTGTCAGATGCTGGGACTCCCTCCCCTCCCTGCAACTTTATGTCGCCTTTCTCGAGGAAGCCGTGCACCCCGAGATAAGCCACCCCCTTTACGTGTGTCCCTAAATACCGCCAAAGAGTCTGAAGACACACTCCTTCTCTCGCGACAACCGGACGTTGTTAATGCCTGTAAAATTCGGGCCACGCCTGACAAGTTATGGTCAATAAGAGAAGAGGAGAGAAAGTCAGCGGTTGGAAATCCCAACAGAAACAACAATATAGTTGTACATGGAATTCCAGAATTGCCAAGTGTCCGCTTGGTTAAAGATCGGTACTTTCCCGACATCCAACAATGGCAATGGCTCTCAACCAAAGTTGGTCTCTACAGTATACCGGCCAACAGCGTCAGTAGACTGCCAAGGCCAGCGCACCTGAAGACCATACCCAATCCCAGACTACTCGCCGTCCAGTTCGACTCATATGCCTCCCTCACAGACGTTCTACACACATGGTATAATGCGAAAGATCGCATGGGCGGCTCAATACGTATATGTGAAAGTAAGCCTAGACCCGCAGGGCAAGAGGAGAGACGGTAACCACCAAGACCTCTGGAGTCAGTAGTCGTCAGACAGGTGCTGACCAGTGAGTTAGATACATCAAGTAAAGAAGCCACCACTACCACAGCCCCCACCCAAGTTAAGGACAAAACACAAAAAACGGAACAATGCCAGTCCTATGGGGACTGGAGAGGCTAGACCCAACCACGTAAGCACTCATCCCGCGAAAATATACAACCGGACCTCGCTTCTCACCATGCACGCTCTAATATGTATGTACAGCAACTTTAGGGGGCTAAGGGGGAAGGTAGCAGGAATGAGGACGCTGCGTGAACATCAGCACTCGGACATCATATTCATCACAGAATCCTGGCCCTCGCCAGACATCTCCGACGAAGAGATGCATGTTACTGGCATGGAACTCTTCCGCAGGGACAGGGAACATAGAGCAGGAGGGGGAGTGGCTATCTACGTAAACCCCTGTTTAAAGGCAAGGATGGTTAGCGATACGGCCTTAACCCAGCTCCCGGAGTCTCTATGGTGCTACTTCACTCTCCACCGTACCAAATACCTGCTCGGAGTTATATATCAGTCCCCCACCAGCTCCCCTACACATAAGGAAATGGTCATCAAGGCTATCTTAACGACTTCCTCTGCAAATTACGATTCCGTAGTCATCGCCGGCGCATCAGATCCTTCAGTCAGAAGCTGAAGGATACAATTAGGACTGCTGGCCTCTCAGAGAAAGTGGGTGATGCTACACGCTGGGGACTTAACGGAAACGCATCGCGCCTTGACTTCGTTCTGACGAACGATGAATTTCTCATTGAGGACGTTTGCATCCAACCTCCCCTTGGCCTCAGTGACCACGCTGTAATCACCTTCTCTATGATTACTAGGAAGGCTCTGCAACTGGAGACGTCCAACACCTTCCCTTGCTACAACAAGGCCAACTATGAGCTCATGAGGGACTACCTCATTAATACACCCATATTACCTACTAATTCTTCTGTAGGAACCAAACCCACGCGACCATTCGGGCAATTCCCAAATACTTTTCTTTCGTTCTCTTTTCACCCCTCCTTTTCTTCTCCTTCCCTTTTATCTTCCCTATATTATTATTTTTTCCCCTCTTTTTTAATTTTTTTTTAACTTTTTGTTTTTATTTTTTCCTTTCTTTATTCTCTCATTACTTTACCACTACCTTACTACTCCCTTTCAGGTACCTACACAGACAGGAGTCACGGCAGTTCTCTAAACTTCCCAGCAACCCGTAGCTCCCTAATCACTCTACAAATTACAACCTACTAACCCACAAAACATCCATCTCACCGAAGCTAAAAGAAAGAAAGCAGAGCCGGTCTCCTGTTCACTGCAGGAGTGAACTGAACAACTCGAACCAAGCCCTAAGAACTAGATGCAAGAGATCAAAAAACTACCAGTTTTCTACGCTCGCACTATCAATATTGGATATTGGAGTGTAGTAGCTAGAGGAAAATTAGTAGGTAATGTGGGTGCCTCTACGTGTTTCAAGGAGAAACTGGGTCTTAAACGTTTTATACAGTCAAAGACAACACAGGATAATCACCCCAAAATCTTTTAAACTTAAGACAATGAATTTATTCACTGCGATGTTATGCTAAAGCCAAAGTCCTCTCTTTTCTGAACATGAAATCGTCCAAAAACCTCGGGTTACTGCGAAACATGAAGCTGCTTCGAGCATAAAACAGCAGCATTGAAATACGAGTGGCATTTCTGCGCTTATAAAAGGATAAAGTTTATCTTAAATACCATAAATAGTCTTAAAAGATTCATATAAGTTGCATACCTCCCCAAGGTCATATTTGTACCGTCATATTGAAATGTGTGAATATCCAATATCCAATATTGATAGTGCGAGCGTAGAAAACTAGTAGTTTTTGATCTCTCGCGTCTAGTTCTTAGGGCTTGGTTCCAGTTGTTCGGTTCACTCCTGCAGTGGACGAGGAAATCCCCTCTGCTTTCTTGCTTTTAGCTTCGGTGAGGTGGATGTTTTGTGGGTTAGTAGGTTGTAATTTGTAGAGTGATTAGGGAGCTACGGGCTGCTGGGAAGTTTAGAGAACAACCGTGACTCCTGTCTGTGTAGGTACCTGAAAGAGAATATTAAGGTAGTGGTAAAGGAATGAAGAGAGAAGTAAGGAAGAGTAAAAAAATAAATAAATAAATAAATAAAATAAAATAAAAAATAAAAAAAATAAAAATAAAAATAAAAAAATAAATAAATAAAATTAAAAATAAAAATAATAGTAATAATAATGTAGGGAAGAGGAAAGGGAAGGAGAATAAAAGAAGGGGTGAAGAGAGAAATGAGAACGAAAGAAAAGTATTTGGGAATTGCGCGAATGGTCGCGTGGGTTTGGTTCCTACAGAAGAATTAGTAGGTAATGTGGGTGTATTAAGGAGAGAGATAGTGAGTGGTAGTTAGGAGGGAGTTGGGGGTACTGAGGTTGGTGACTACCTGAGTACGTCCGTGGTAGTCCATGCGAGGTGACATAACTGTCTAATCGCCTCTTGAAAGAGTCGATTGAAGGAGCTATAACGATGTGTCGCGGTAAGGCATTCCATAAAGCACATACTCTCAGGGAGAAAAATTTGGACCTGAGTGTGGTGTTGGCTCTCTGGTGTGCTATCTTAAAGGGGTTTCCTCGTGAAGATCGTTCAGTTGCAGGCAAAATTGATTTGTTTGCATGGTCTGCCTGATGGGCGATCTTGTATGCCATAATGAGGTCACCCCTTTTCCTGCGATAACCCAAGGTAAATAGGTTGAGGTGTTTAAGTCTTTCAGGATACGTCTTTCCCCTTAGCCCCACAACTGATTTTGTTGCAGTTCTTTGTATTCTTTCAAGGAGATTAGAGTCTCTCTTGAGTGTTGGAGGAGCCACCGTATTGAAGACCTCTAGGTGCGGCCGCACGTAGGATTTGAAAATGGTAAGGAAGAGTTCGGGAGTGAGGGCGCCAAGCTGTCTACGCAGAAAGTGTAGAATGGCGTTCGCTCTGGTTGTCATACCTTTGTAGTTGGAGCTGGTGTCCAAGGTGTCGGAGAAGTTGAGCCCCAAATCTTTCTCCATGGACACTCTGGTGATAGCACGGTTGCTCAACATGTACTGGAAGTCGGTCGTACTTGCCTCATTTTTACTGATGTGCATTACTTTGCACTTTTCCAAGTTGAAGCTCAGACCATTTTCCGACGACCAGAGCTCGAGTTGCTGCAAGTCCTTTTGTAGTGCTGCACAGTCGGCTTCTTCGTTTACCACCCTCCAAATTTTTATGTCGTCAGCGAAGAGGAGGATGGGTGAGGATATTTTGTCTGGCAGATCGTTGACAAAGAGGAGGAACAGAAGCGGTCCTAGGATTGCTCCTTGGGATACTCCTGACGTCGACGGTCTCCACTCCGACCTTATTCTGTTCACTTTAGTGCAGAACTGCCTCCCTTCCAGGTACTCCTTGAACCAAGAGAGTAGGGGTCCACTTATACCAGCTGACATGATCTTGTGAAGCAGTACTGTGGGTGGGACACTGTCAAATGCTTTGGCTAGGTCGAGAAATACAGCATGTACAGGTTTTCTATTATCCCAGCTTTGTGTCCAGTCGTCCCAGGCAGTTAGTAAGTTGGTGGCACATGAGCGACCACTACGAAAGCCGTGCTGAGCAGTGTGGACAGTGTTTTCTCTATTGAGGAATTCCCAGATGGTGTCAGCTACCAGGCTTTCCAACACTTTCGACACAATAGGGAGTAGGGCAATCGGCCTGTAGCTGCCAGGGTTTTTTCTGTCTCCTCCCTTGAAGATGGGTGACAAGATGGCACTCTTCCATTCTTTAGGGAGTTTGCACGAGTCTATTGAGTGCTCAAAGAGGTTGCGAAGTGGTTTGGTAAGCACCTCGGCGCAGTTTTTCAGAACCACTGGTTTCAGATTATCGCAGCCAGGGGACTTGCCCGGACGTAGCCTAGATAGCTTCTCGAACACCTTTTTCTCTGTAATAGAGACGTGACAGAGGTATTCGTTATTTGCGACCTGGTCGGTGTCGTGGCGAGTCGGTGTGGATCTTGTGTCAGTGCTGAGTTGGGCTTGGAAGTGTGAGCTCAAAAGATGGTTCAACGGCTTTAATATCTTACGGGAGCTATACAAAAAGTACACTCTCAGTTTTAGAAACTCTCCTGTCTGGGTCTTATACCTCAGTCCCGTAAGCTTGATCCAATATCTAATATTGAGAGTGCGAGCGTAGAAAACTGGTAGTTTTTGATCTCTTGCATCTAGTTCTTAGGGCTTGGTTCGAGTTGTTCGGTTCACTCCTGCAGTGGACGAGGAGACCGGCTCTGCTTTCTTTCTTTTAGCTTCGGTGAGGTGGATGTTTTGTGGTACACTGTCCTAGTGGAGTTCTTCTGGGTTCAGTACTAGGACCTCTTCTCTTCCCAATATGCACAAACAGCTTGCCTCAACAGGTTTCTCCAAAAAATATTCTTCTCGCAGACGACCTGAAATTATGAAGAAATATCAGCAGTTAAGAAGACAGTGTTCCTCTGCAGGAAGACTTAACTTCAAAGCCGGGCAGTCAATCATGAAAGGTGTTACACGCAAGCACAACGCACTCCATTTATATAGGCTCCATGGCAGGGATGGCAGAGGAAGATTTGCGAGACTTGGTAACCCTCAAAAGAACTCACAGAAAATTTGATCGTATGTTTTTTCGCCAAACTTTCAACAGATTTACACTGCCTCACCTGGACTTCGGGACTGTCTTCTTCCTCTCTTTTCTGCAAAAGGACGTATTGAGCCAAAAACCCCCCAGAGGCTCTCGGCCAAATCTGGATAACATTTAGTACATAGGTTGTTGTCCATATTCATATCGTGCATTAATATGTACGAACAAGGACAACAAATGATGCACAAAACGTTATCTAGTAGACGACACCATTTCACTGCGTAATATTTCCAATAAACACATTAAAATGGAACAATTAATTCTTCACATAAAACCGCTACTTTTTGCTCTCTCTTCACTCATACACAGATTAAAAACCAGAAGAATTGGTAATAATCTGATTCTAGGTGCAAAAGTCAGTTAAGCGAAAGCTTCTTCTATTCCGTCAACAACCGTTTGAAGCATTTTAATAGGCTCCGAATGCTTCCTGCCTTGCCAGGCATACCTTTGGAGTTGTGGGTCACCCAACATCCAACGTCAGTCACAAGGGTATAGTAAGCTGTAATTCTTTCAGTTTTAGGGTGCCTTTGGGTGTCTGTTGCAGTTCCTATGCAGGCTTGGCAACTGAATGTTAAAACCTTTCTATAAGTACTTTTCTCGTTTAACTTCCTCATAACAAATCCATTTCCACACACCCAAGATGTATCTTCTCACAGTGAACCAATAGTCTTCGTAAGATGCAGTCATATAGTCCACCGCTCGGTAAAGAATCATTCAAGAACATGAACTCATAGGTGGCACGATCATTATTAGCGTAGCAAATGAATGACATTTGTGAGGAGGAAATAAGACCAATGAAGTAGACATGATCAGACAGTTTGTAGAAGTTATTTTCTCTTAATGTCGGCCTTTAAGAGCATAGTAAAACAAGGAGATAGGGTTCTTAAAGGTGACTGACTTTGTTTCGGAAGAAACTTTTTAATTTATGCTGGAAGCTCCACGCTATATCACACATATTACTTGAAACAAAGGTGTTATTAAATAAATAAATAAATATTTTATTCTCATATTGGTAATTTACTATGAGGGAAGCCAGTTTACAGGCATCATCATATTGGTATATGTCGGAAAATGTAAAAGATTTTACGGGACCGAAATGGTATGGAATGGATGTCATTGAATTTGATTAAAAAAAGATTACACAAGTCATGAAACCAACAAGATGATACAACTTTTCAGCGTATAAACAGTGTTGAAGTTTGTATCGTTTTCAGTCACACTTCCTTCTTTCACCGTTATTAGCACCAGGGTCGTGCGAAATTCCAAATTTTAGTTACAAGCAGCCGACTTGTTTGATTCGTCTTCGTGATGCCCCGCTACGCCACACAAACGTCTAGTTTACCATAAATTCTCATGCTTATAGCTCCGAGTACCAGAAGAACCCACACTGACGATGTTGAGGACCTGTAGGTTTCCATATAATCACCTGATCCAAGTGAATATCCATTCAAGTATTATCATTCACAGCAACATAGGTATTGTTGGCGAACTAACCCATAGTGTGTCACACCTTTCTGCTGCTCTGACAAGCTTCTGGTTGCTCGTTCTTCAATGGTGTGCTGGTATGAAATGGATGCACAAAGGATTAAGTCCGTCTCCCATTGGCAAGCGCTGGGTAGTACCGGCGATGTTTTACCTTGACTTTTCCTGTTTCTTTTTGCGTTTGGTTTGTTAATTGCCTTGCTCCACTTCTGCTTCTACCTTACTCGTTCAAATTACCGGAAATCACGGAAACCTCTCACCGTCGTCCTAAATCCATTGACACACTGGGTATATATGACTGAGGAAGATAGACGTATCATCAAACTTGTATTCATCACATTCGAACCATATGAGTAAGAGTCTATGCTGCACTCCTTCTTACTCAAGGTTCTGCCTCAATCACCCTTACGCCTAGTATACTTTGTTATCGCGTTCTACCCCTTCCATGTTGATCTGATACTGAATAACCTCATCGGGAACTTGTACACGTTTCCAGCTCTAGTTTCATTTATCATCCTGCTAACTCAACAGTCTTATAGTTGTGGATTCTTTGTTTGTTTACTCGCATTCAAGAGTCCATATGACACTAATACCAAACGACAAATAACACGGATGGATTT